CGGAGCCCACAGGATTAAGAAGTACAAAGATCGTTTTTGCTTCACAACTAGGTAGGTAAGCTATCGAATTTCTTCTAAATAATTAAATGAGTTCAATTCTATCATTTGAGATTGAGAAATATTGATATAATTAAAATCAAAATATTATAAGAGCAAAACAATATTAAATTTAAAAATTGCATAAAAGTATCATATAATATCATGTTCAACTTTAAATTTCTTCTTTCTCAACTTTAAATTTCTTCTTTCTCAATTCTCTACTCATTTACATTCAATTCTCAACTTAGGTATCATCCGCACTGTCATCACTGAAGTGGTCTTCATCAGAGTTGTCGCCTTAACAAATTGGTCTATCTCCTGCCTCATTCGTTAGATTCGAATGTCTTCCAATAGACTTCTTTTTAATTTATTTCAATCATGTTCATCTTTTAGAAATTATTTCATCAACATAAATATGAGATTAATACTCTAAAATTTTTAGGATGGTGATGTGCAGCTTTCGAGTGATTGTCGGTGATGGTTATGACGCTGTTGGCTACGGCAAAGGCCGCGGGTTGGAGGTAGAGGTAATAGAGAGGAAATTGTTGCGCTCGAATGTGCATGAAGGTGTTATTTATGTTAGTTCTAACAAAAAAATATACAAATAAGGTGAGGCGTAAGCCTCACGCTAGTGAGGCGAGGTGTGCCTCAAGGCCGGCCTCAGCCAAGCTGAGGCACAAACCTCATAAAAAAGCTAGAGGCGAAAGAGTCAAGGCGTTCTCACTAGAATTGAGCTGAGGCGGGCCTCAAGACGAGCTTCATATTGCGCAATTTTAAATAATGTTCTCATATAACCTCACCACTTCATATGAGTTCCTAACATGTACAAACCTAAAAAAGTTATATAGACAATATTAAGGAAAAATTTCAAAGTGATTTGGGACTAAATAACTATGTTAAAATTATCAAGTTCACAACACATAAACTATATATTTTTAAATAATTTTTAGGATGTGAATAATATTTATTTAGTTAATAATATTTTATTTTATTTATTTTTTTAATTATATACTATTAAAATTTACTTTTTTATCAATTGATGATAAATGATCTAACATGAATGATATATAGATTCAAGTTTATAATGCAAATTTGGTATATAATTTATATTAAATTTATAAATTTTTATGTGAACTAAATTTATATTAAATATAAATTAAATTTAAAATTGAAGGTATTTAAATTTAAATTTATAGTATAAATTATGTTAATTTTTTTAGTTACAAATCTATATTATTGCGTAGTTATGATATCATTATTCTACTATTTAGATATCATTTAAATATTTTTAATATTTATTATATCAACTAGTTAAACTCCAGTTGGACCATTGAATCTTGAATCTTTCTTGTTGAATTCACGTCCGACAAAATTTTCACAACCTTGGTTACTATGCTATATGGACATGAAACATTAAGCTTAGAGGATGCAGAAATTTCACTTCTTTTTAAGGAGTTTATTTCTATACTCGAGGGAAGTGATAAAATAACTGAAGGTTTATTGTAAGTTAGGGGGAGAGCCTATAAACATTACTTCTCTTCTTATCATAGTGTGAATAAGTTACATGAAAATTTCAAAGAGATCAATTATTTTTACTCTAAGAATGACACATAAATAAGAATTGCTTAGCCCTAAAGAGAAGAGAAAATAAGTAGATGAGAACCACAAGAAGTCTAGATACCAGTGTGGTTCCAAATTGGCCTGGTTTTGATAATTTTCTTTCAGTGATCGAAAGAGATATGTGCAAAGAGAAATGGATTATGGATTATAAACTCAACTTATTCAAATCATATGTATTCTAATTCTTTTGTTTGCATGTATAAGCTATTTTTTAATGGTTGTGTATTCATGGGAAATTGAGTTGTATAATCATCACTATTGGAGATTTTGGCACTATGAAATTGAGGACATATGATGTTGTGACTATTTGGTTTCTTTGAGTCAAGTATATATTAAATATGAAGAATAAATTAAAATTCTTAAGTGCTCTTTATTTTGCAGGATATGAGTTCTCTAGTGTACTTTAGGTACATAAGTGTACTTTGATTTTCTTAAAGCAAATTGAGTTGGTGGACTTTGTTTTGTGGATTGTAGTGTCAAGGGTGATGTGTTGGATTCAATGACTTGGGTAAAAAATTGCAATATGAGGAAGAATATGACAAATAGCTTCCAGTTTGTAGGGAAGTTTTTTGAATTAAAGGAGGCATAAGTTCAGGGGAAGACTTTTGATGATGACCAGAGGATTATAATTAGGTTGCACATTCTACCTGTAAAGCCTATTTTTCTCCCAGGATCGTCCGGGACAAAGTTGGATCGTCCCGGGACGATCGGTACAGGTTGTGCTGAAATTTTGGAGACTCAGCAGTTCGTCTGGACGATATGTTAGATCGTATGTACGAAAATTTTACAGAGCCTGATTGTCCAGGGACGTTAATTAATTTCGTCTGGACGAAATTCGTCCAGAGCCAAATCGTCCCGGGAAGAAGTTGCGATCGTCCGGGACGATCCGTCTGGATATATATAGAAATGAGATATTTTGAAGAGAGAGAAAAGCCCACAAATACATTAGAAATCAATTTGGTAGGGGGGAGGGAAGGGAGAGATTGTTAGTATATAGAGATAAATTGTCTTCCAAATTTGAGTTCTCTTAATATGCCATGCAATATCATGTTTATTGCACATACTATATTAAGATTTGATTTGATTTTGTTTATGGGAAAGAAATCATGTAATTAATTTTGAGATATTTGAGAGTATTGTTTACTTACACATGGGATCATTGAAGTTCTTAAAATTATGTAAATCCTCATCTATATATGGCTCCTTTTAGCTGCCCCCTAAAATCCCACATGAAAAAAGGGATCCATGGCAGTAACTGCTCACGCCAAAAGAGTGAGAGGGGGTCAATTGCCACTATTGCAAAGTTTAAGTATCATAAAAATCGAAAAAGTAGTGGGTTTTGATTTCAAGTTTTTAGAGAGGAGTTCGTGGCTTTCTCATGTTGCTAATTTGTGATTCAAAAAAGAAAATTATTTTGTTAATGCAACAATAACATGCAATTTCCCTAAAGTTGTGGAATGATAAGAGGATTTGTTTGCCTTCATCTTTGAAGACATATAGCAACAAGTGGGTATTATTCTTTAGCAACATCTAATTGCATCAAAGTGGCATCTCAGTCTATTTCTCTCAAATTTTTATAAAGTATAATCACCTAATGTGCATCTTTTAAAATTTAGTGAATTATTTGATTTTTATGCGGCAGTAAATATAGTTAGTCTCACTGAACTATGTAGATCTTGATTTTTTTTTTCTATGGCTTGACATTTTTCACAATTATTTGTGGTTCATAATATTTGTTTATAAGGTTGACGTATTCACAATTTAAATTAGGCATATTCTCATTTCCTAATAATATTAATTCCATACCATCATACCTAACTGGCCATCAAATTTCCTGTTATGCAATTTTCAGTGGCTTACATCCAAGAGCAGAATATTTTATATTTACTAGACCCAAATAGCGTGGAATTCTCTTAAGTTTGTGGCTAAAACTCATTATATTCTCTTGTACCCTATTTGCAATTTATTATTTTTTCTCACAAGGTGGTTTGACCAAGTATTTCCCTATTTCGGTTGGGTTACATCAAGGATCAGCCTTAAGCCCATATCTTTTTGCTTTAGTCATGGATGTTCTCACTAGACATTTGCAAGAGGATGTACCTTGGTGTATGCTTTTTGCTGATGATATTCTTCTTGTTGATAAGACTAGAGAGGGAGTTGAAAGTAAACTTGAATTATGGAGGTCAACATTAGAGACTAAAGGTTTTCGCTTGAGTAGATCTAAAACGGAATATATGGAGTGTAATTTTAATAGTAATAGATCTAGTGAGGGGATTGTGACTTTGGACGATCAAGTCATTAATAAGAGTACACATTTTAGATATCTTGGATCTATTGTTCAGAGTGATGGTGAAATTGATGGGGATATTATCAGTAGAATTCAAGTTGGATGATTGAAGTGGAGGAATGCATCGGGCTTGTTGTGTGATAGAAACGTATCCCTCAAACTTAAGGGAAAATTCTATAAGATGGTAATGAGGCCTGCAATGCTTTATGGTGCTGAATGCTGGCCATTAAAAGAGAAGCATAATTCTAAGTTAAGTGTGGCAGAGATGAGGATGCTCAGGTTGATGAGTGGCTTTACCCTTAGAGATAGGATACGGAGAGCATATACGTGTAAAGGTTGGAGTAGCTCCAGTTGAAGATAAGATTAGAGAGAGTCGCCTTAGATGGTTTGGTCATATAAAACGGCAGCCTTCCAATGACCCGGTTAGGAGAGTAGATGTATTAGATTTGACTTATTTTAAGAAAGGTAGAGGTAGACCTAAAAAGACTTGGTTAGAAAATATTATGAATGACCTTTCTTTATTAGATTTAAACGAGAATTTGACCTTTAATAGGACACAATGGAGAAAATTGATTCATATAGCCGACCCCACATAGTGGGATAAAGGCTTGTTGTTGTTGTTGTAGTATTGTTACAGGACATTTATTACGGGTACCTATCTATTTTTTGAAACTTTCAGCAAGGAGAATAGTTTGAAGGTTCTAAATGGGTTAACATCTCATGCAACAGATGGTTGATTATAAATTAGGGGTTGATAAATTAATGGGTTAACTTCAACTAAAGTAGCACCTGCTTTATTATTCAAAATGCCAACGAGCAATATTAGATTGTTAGTTCATTTCCAGCACAGCGGACAAAGACAAAGCTCATGCTACTGTATTCTGCTAGGATCAGAATTGCTTGACATTCTCTCTAGCCATTCTTGAGTTTTAACTGGTTTTGCTGAATATTGTCAATGATTATCATGTTTAACACATCCTAGATTAACACCATCTCTAAGTCTAGACCACACATTTTTATAATGGATTCTACTGATTCTTTGTAAATAATGCAGGGCTCTTCAAGATGGTGACGTTTCTCTAAGGATAACCCATTGTGGAGTCTGTTATGCTGATGTCGTCTGGACTAGAAATCTGCTGAACAATTCAATTTATCCTGTAGTGCCTGGGTAATTTTCTTTTTTCTTGGTCAGGCATATTTGCAATTTCTATGGGAAAAAGAAAATTTGCTGTAGGGTGAAGATAATACTTCTTTTTATCAAATTCATATATTACACAGTTCAAAGTGTTACTTTTACTATGAAATAAAATCATTATAAAGAGGTAAATGCAACACTTAAAGATTATTGTAACGAAGGGAAAATTTCGAAGTTCCTAACAATAAAAATAGTTGGTTGTGGAATCAAAATTTGCATGATACAATCCTCCACTTTTTTCATCTAGGACTTGGAACCTGACAATGGCAGTGTTTATTGAAGGGAAAATTTTAATGAAGTATTAAATTCAGATATGTATCAACATCTCTCACTTGGACATATGGGCAGTTAAATTCATTTTGTAACCTTACCATACCAGTTCAAAGATCATGCTACCAACAAAATAAAAAATAGAGAGGAGCGCTTATACTAATTTACTACCAAACTAGCATAGCACTCAAATATATTAATTATACTTAAGTCGAGAATTTTTTTTGTCCCTCACAAGCATACAACTAAGAACATACTTATTAGAAGACAAAACCAATTCTCAATAATACCACATCAGCTTCCATATTTCTGTCAGCCTATCACCTATGCACACTTATACATATTACTTGTACAGCTCTATATATAGGGCTGTTGTTGTATCATAATAAACGGGATAAGAATTCTTTGTTTACTGCTATGTTCTTGATCTCTGTCTCTCTTTCCTCTTCTTGCTTTGTCTTGCGTTTCTTCATAGTATTAGAGCGGGTACGTTTCTGAGCGTCCTCTATGGCCTCCTCCTCCTCTTCGCAGATAGGAGAACAATCGACAAGTCTCACCGATAACTCCGGCATTCATGAAGCACTTAAATTCGTCGTCTCGAATCTCCGGACTCTGGTGCCGATGCAGCTCTCCACGGACAACTATGCAATTTGCTGAAGCCAAATCATCAAGTTGTTTAGGGCGAACGAATTTGAACATTTTCTTGAATCTGCTTGCGTACCTCCCTCAACGCAAACCTCTCAGTGAAATGGAACAACAGCTCCAAATCCTGCTTATGCTCCATGGTTAGTTACAGATCAAAACCTCTCTGCCACAATTTGTTCCACGATATATGCTTCGGTGATTCCCTATGTATTGCATCTTGAATCCATCGCGGCAATATGGAAAACCCTTGAAACTCGGTTTCAATCCACAAACCGATCCAAGGTCATACAGCTCAAAAATGAGCTGCACAACGTCTCAATGAAAGCGCAGTCCATGACACAATATCTAATTGAAATCAAGATGCTTGTCGACCAAATTGCTGCCGCGGGATCAACTATTGACAGTGAAGACATAATTTTGTATATCTTAAACGACCTTCCTTAACCTTATCAAGCTTTCAAGACATCGATACGAATGATGCTCACCCCAATCAGTCTTAACAATTTATATGCACTGCTTATAAGTGAGGAAATCCATGTAAACGCTGAAGCTGCAAGAATCTTGCCCAGTGTTGACTCTCAAACAACGCTATATGCCTCACGAGGAAGAAATAAAAGAAATAGCGGCTGGTTTCCGCAAAGCCATACCAACACATGCAGAACTTCTCAACAACCTGCTCCAACATGCCAAGTATGTAACAAGAAAGGGCACACGACATCTGTATGCTAGCTTCGACTAAACATTAATTACACTCCGCAGCCATCCTCCTCCCATTCCAACAAAGCAATGGTTGCTACCTCCGAGTCAATGATGACCGACTGGTATCTTGATTCCGGAGCATCCTCACACATGACCAATCTTGTTGACAATCTGTCTCAATCTACACCTTACCAAGGCTCCGATACTGTCACCATTGGAGATGGGAGAACAATTTTGATTGCTCGCCCGAGCACTAGTATTCTTCCAACTCCGTCACGTAAGCTACACCTATCGCATCTTCTTCACATTCCTAGCCTCTCTCATAAGTCATAACCTCATTTCTATTTCAAATTTAGTTAAAGACAAAAATATTTTTGTTACATTTAATCCTACGGGTCTTCTTTTCAAAGACCTGAAGACGGATCTTCAACTTCGCACTTTCTCTGATGCTGTCTAGGCAGGTGATCCGCTATCAAGAAAGTCCACCTCGAGCTACTGATCCTTCCTTGGTCAAACTCTTATCTCATGGGCTGTAAAGAAACAAAATACTATGGAAAGATCTTCAACTGAATCTGAGTATAGAGCTTTAGCCGCAGCTACCGCTAACATACTATGGATCAAAAGACTTCTAATAGATTTCAACATTGATCACAAAAATCCTACTGATCTTTTTTGTGACAACACATCCACTATAGCTCTAGCTAACAATCATGTTTTCAACGCTAGAACAAAACATATTGAAATAGATCACAGGTTCATTTGTGATCACTTACAACAATAATATTCGGCGACTACTTATCAGTACTGTTGATCAAATCAACGATATCCTCACAAAACCTCTCACAACTCCAAAGTTTCAATTTCTACGGCTCAAACCGACGATCATCAAAGACCCGTCAATTTGTGGGGGAATATTAGAAGACAAAACCAATTCTCTATAATACCACATCAGCTTCCATATTTCTGTCAGCCTATCACCTATGCACACATATACATATTACTTGTACAGCTCTATATATAGGGCTGCTCTTGTATCATAATAAATGGGATAAGAATTCTTTGTTTACTGCTATGTTCTTGATCTCTGTCTCTCTTTCCTCTTCTTGCTCTGTCTTGTGTTTCTTCAATACTTAGAATTTTTATTATGCACTCATGATTTCATTGAAGAACAAATCTTTAAGTAATCACCTGAGTCAAATAATAATGTTGCGTCAATCAAGTTCTTTGGAGAAGATGTTAAAATAACAACATGATATTTGCCCTTATTGCTCTAAGTCAAAAAAGGTACGTAAGGAAGCATGTGTGGTTTGTCTGGGCTCATTTAGTAATGAAATTAGGGTTCGCTCATCACTTTCTTGAATAGCACATGCAATATGAAATGCATGCTATGCTAAGAAAAATCATATAAGCTTAATCTCACTACAACACCAGATGATTACTAATCCATATGCCACATAAGCATATGCCCTAAACATCTCAATACAATCACTCCTATTAATCCCTGTCACGCAGCCAAAATTCACATTTAGCTATCACATGTTTTATGAACTAGCCAAAATTCACATTTAGCTAATATTGCTTGTGTTGATTCATTTTAAGCCTCTCATTAGAGTAGAATGTACTGCCAGATTTTGCTTACTACTAAAAGAACAAGGCGACTGCCCAATGAGGGCTAAATCTCAAAGCTTGTAAGTCCTCAAACAATTGTATTCATAAAAGTTAAAAGACTTTTATTAAAATAACAAAGGCGTTATTGTCTTTAAATAATTATCAAGAAATCAGATCTTATGCAAATGTAGAGTCCAGACATAAGCTTGGACATATACATTGCTATTGGCTTTGTAAATAAATCAATTAATGTTTTCTTATAAGGAATTCACGTAAGAATATTCTCCTTTCGTGATGGCAGTGATATCTTAAATCTATATGCGAAGTCCTATCATGGAATTTTTTGCACTTGCAATTGCTACAGTGCTGTTACTATGCAACAATACCTCATCTTTTGTTTTGGCTAAAGATATTACGGCATGTAAGAAATCTCTTAAGCCAGATAACCTCCTGTATAGCTATTGACATGCTACGTACGTGGCTTCAATTATAGGCAGTAAAATACATGATTGTTTCTTGCTGAACCAATAGATAACTCCACCAATTTGAAAAATATGCCTAGAAGTGAATATGTGCTCATTCTTTTCTCTCATACGATTAGTGTTCCAATCAGTTTCAGATTTTCATGGTGATAGCACAAAGCTAAGTCAGTAGTCGAAAAATTCTCGTCACCATTTGGTAATGCTTGGGCATGCATTACTTTAATAGAAGTTTCCTAATCTTACATTAAATACAATATTGTGTTGATTGCACATACATACTATATTTCAAACATCTTATTGCTTTTTAATAAGGAACCTTGTATATGCAATATTTCATCCTTAGATTTAGGACAATCATTAAGATATTGGATGTATATTTTCCCAATACCGTGTATGCACTTTTGCCTTCCTGTGTAGCTATTGCACATGCTACTTAGTTTCTATTATAGACAATGAAATACAGGATTATTTCTTCTTGTCCAAAGGGTTAACTCCACTTCCAAATTGTTTGATGTATCTACAATTGGATTTGTGATCATCTTATATCCCATATAATCAGCATTGGTATAGCCGAGTTTCAGATTTTCATTATTATAGCATAAAACTAGGTTAATAGTATGCGCTAGGTATCAAAAAATTCTCTTCATAACTTCCTAATGACTTGGACTATGTTGCTTGGATAGTGGTCAACCAATCCTGCATCAAATGCAGTATTTGGTTTAGTGCACATTAAAACATACATCAAACATCATATTGGATTGGATTTTTTTAAGGAGCCTTGGATATGCGACATTAAGGCTGCAAATGAACCGAGCTAAGCCATGCTTTGGCATATTCGAGCTCGAGCTCGTTTGTCAAAAACATTTTCAAGCTAGTTCGAAGCTTGTTGAGCTTCTTCAATAGTTGTTCGAGCTCTTTTAAAAATATAATGTTCGATTTCAGCTCATGTTTAGGTTCGAGCTCGATTAATTTTAAGCTCGTCGAGCCTCTAATCGAGCGGCTCGTTTAACGAGCCAAGCCAACCCACTTAGAAATCATAATTTTTTTTTAAATCGAGTCGGCCCGCTCACAACCGCCTACCCGCCTTGATTACCTAGCCCAGCCCGCCACGCATCAATCGCATTGCCACTATGGCTCATTAGAGCAAAATCTTATTTCATTTCACGATGTGGGACTAAACTAACCTTTTTTTTTTCCTCAGCGTAAGCAGAGGCGGGAATCGAGGCGGGAGAGGAAAAATAGAATGGAGAAGAAATTTTTATTAAAATATTTCTAATTAGTTAGATTAATAAAAGTTAAAAATATGTCTAATGAAAATGGTTAAAGTTAAAAATATTATATTAATAAAAAAATTATTAAATTAGTAAGTTTAATAGTATTTATTTTAAAACTCTAATTAAGCTCTAATTGAGCTTCTTAGCGAGCTTTTTTACGAGCTTAAACAATAATATTCATGAATATAAATGAACCGAATGACAAGTTGTTCAAGCTCGTTCATTTAAGTATCAAGTATTTATCAAGAGTGTTCAAGCTCGTTTGTTTACCTTATCAAATGAACATGAACGAGCTCTTATTGAGCCGAGCCATGAGCAGCTCGTCGAATGCTCGGTTCATTTGCAACCCTATGCAACATGTTTCATATTTTGATTTAGGATAACCATGGAGACATAAGATGCACTTTTTTTCCTATAGAGTATGTCTTTGTTTAAAAAGACATTTGAAGCGTCCACTTCAAGGCGCACGTCACCATGAGGCGCCAGTAAGTACTAAGGCATATGTTTTTTCTGTTTGAGTGAAGTTTATTTTAAAACAAAGCACTTTTAAATTATATATAAGAGGGTTTTTGTTATTAGGCTTAGAGTTTAGACCAACATAGAGATAGAGAACAATGTTTATTTTCTTTTAAGTTTTTATTGATGCCTCAAATTAATTGTTTTTTATTTTTTGAGTGATTTTTTTTCTTTTTATTATAATTTTCTTTTTTTTTTGTTTAACATATTTATTTTCATTTTTCTTAATTTGATTTATTTTTGTTTTACATTTTTATTTCCATTTAACTATTTGTATGATCTATTTAATTGATTTTTGTTTTTTCTTTTATTTAGTTTTGTTTTTATTTTTATAGAGTTTAGGCTTTTAATTTTATTTATATTTATCTGTTGATAGTTTATGACATAATTATGAATTATCATATAAGCTTGAGGGCACTGACTTTGAGGGAACTCGGTTAAGGTTGAAGGTTGAAGGTTGCAATAACAATTGAATCCCCCTCAATTTTTTTAAATGGTTAGCTTGTGCCTTCATCGACCTAACCATATTAGGAAGAGTTCGATTCCTTCTTTCTGCTACTTCATTTTATTGTGGGAGTATTAAGAATTGTGATCTAATGATGTATCCAATTTTTTGTCACATGTTTTTGCTAACTAATTAAACAAATATGTTTGACCATTAGTTGTTTGCAAAACTTTTAGTTTGTAATGAATATGATTCCCTACTTTGACAAAGAAGCGCTTGAAGCAATCTAATTCTCCATGCATATGAGAAAGCAAATACACATAACTATATTGAGAATATTTATCATCAAACATAAGGAAATATATAACGCAATGATGAGGCCGCACATTCATATGCCTATGTATATCAAAATGAATAATCTCTAAATAATTTTGAGCTCTAGAAGTCAAAAGCTTTTTACATGATTTACATGTTAGGCATGACTTACATATAGGGAGATTGATCTTAGCGAGCGTTGAGCAGTCTTAACAAGTCATCTCTTACTGATATGCTTATTCTCTCCTGACCACTATGATCTAGTCCAACCATTTGATGCAATCTATATTATAATCCACAAACATACATTAAGAAGGAATAGGTTTTTTATCCAAAACTAATTTGAATAAACTATTTATTAAAATATCATGTCTATTCAGTGTTCTATAAAACCAACTAGTTATTGGTCATGATAAAATAATTACCAAGTCTTAAAAATGTGCTAATATAAAGTAAATTATGTCTAATGATAGGTGCGTGAATCACATCTTATAGGAGCAACATCATTCTAGAATCAATTTGAGTTGGTACGAACAATTTTCTAACACATATTTTCTTCCATCTCTCATAAGGAAGCTTTGGTAACGATAATCTATAAACCATCCTTCGGTCTTAGTCAGATGGTTTCTTTTCTGAACCCTTTTGTTGTCTTCGAGCATTTATGACAGTGCTTAGACGTCTTTCTATTTGCATTATTAATTGTTGAACACTAATCTTTTGTCGTCTACTTATCCTATGATTCCTTATCTTGACTATGTAGGCAATTTTTCCTTCTTTGGGCTCAATCATGGCATGAGCAGGTTCTTTAAAAGCCTGAGCTCTTTAAGAAGATGTTGAATCTTCCTATATGTCATAGTTGTGGCCATCAAGCTTTTTTTTCCTTGATTAACCTAACTCGCTCTCTTGATTCTCATTATCATCACTGTAGAATTGCATAACAAATAATTATTACATAAATATACATACTCTATTTCTTAATTTTATCAAAGATCTATCATTCTTTGTGCATCACAATAAAAATTCCTTTATGGTCATAATTTTTACCTGATGCCATTATAAATAAATAATTTTTAAACAAAATTAGGAAAGAGTCAAAATACTTAATGTTGAATCCACTAATTGCACCTTAAACAATTTATGCGCTGAATAAATCAAATAAAAAATTAAATAAAATGTAAGAAATGAATTATGAACACTTGTGGCATTGTGCGTGCCTCATTGCTACTATTCCCCACCGCCTGCACCATGATGCATACGTTGTAAAGCCACTTATGTGTGCCTACCATTACATCACTTGTTGCATGTGGAGAGTTGGAAAGGGAGAAAATAAATTGAGCCACTGATAAAAAGCTAGGCCGCCTTTGAAAACATTGAAATGAAAATTTTATTTGAACATTGTTCAAATGTAAATTACTTTGATCCGTGAAGATTGTCGATCCTCACTTAAGAACCTAGTCTTCTTTGAGCACATATATTCAATTTTTTTTTGGGTGGCAAGTGTTACTTGAGGGCCTCACAAATTTGCCTTTTTAACTTTTTGGCTTCTTAGATGATATAACCTGAGAGAGGAGAATAAAATTTCTTTCCTTTTTTTTTAAAAAATATATTTCACTAACGAGTAGGAACCCTTATTTGTAAATGAAAGGTCAAAATATTAAATCAGTCTACGAGATGTTAGCCTAAATAATTAATCATTTTCTATGTGGGCTAACCACAAATTCAAATTTACATTCATAAAAGTTAAAAGTAATATTTATGCATGTGTGAACCATAAAATTTAAATTCCTAAATTCAGATATATATCCAACAGAAAGTATCATAAAAAATTTATACCAGAATCACCAATCTCAACGTTAAGTATATGGAACTGAAATATAAGAAATCTGTAAATTTTTTTACTCAAGCAAGAAACTTGGTATTCAAATTCTTAATTATTTTGATATAAACTATGTACCTTGTATGTATAAGTAATTTTAAACGTCTTTGTTTTTTAGTAAAACTGAATGAAATCCTCAGATAGGACAATATGTGGTATTGTGGTTTAGATTTAAACAAACTTCATCCTAAAGGAATATTTCATGCTTATGTTCCTTCAAACAATGACATATAATTGGCAATAGACTAATTTAATGTAAAGCTTTTGCTTATGGGGATGAACGACAAAGTTAATTTGATAATTTTTTTGGTGCAAATGAGATGTGGTCATAAATCTATTAAAAGCATATCTGATAAAGCATATTGTTGTATTTATAATTGATCAACCAACAATTTTTCGAGTATAGTTTATTGAAGATACTAAATCACTGCATTTATTGCTACATTTCTTTTTTAACTTTGTGACAATTATTCGTGTTTAATATAACCATGAATTTTATATAAGATTGAAGTGAATAACTACTTCGATAAAATATAACTATAGAAACAACTATAGAGCTTGCTCAAGATAAAAGAGGAAAATGTAACTATAGATTCATCTTCTAGATTGATAATGAGCTAACCAGAAGATGAACTCTGAGGCATGAATTAATGCTATTTGCTTTTAGAGCAATGTACACCTAATGCTGTTTGATTCAGGTTAAACAAGTCGTATCCCTATCATGAATCAAATTCATTAAGTTATTAACTACATGAACCAACCTGCCAAAAGGTTTATGTCGTGGGAAGCATTCAACTAAAGTGACCTAGATCTAATTCGCCACAACGCTCAAGTTGCATGAAGGGAAAATCTACTCGACAATTGAAGTTGTCAAGTTACCCTGAGGCCACTCGCCTACCAAAATGAACTCATCAGAGAACTCGTGATTGATTTTGTCAAGAGATATCACCATTGAACTTGCTAGAAAGCTCGGCCAATGAAGCTCTTCCTCAAATAATTTTGTCCTCAACATTAATACTCATCAGGAATTACCAAGTATTTGGATATCACTTATTTAAAAACACTTAAAACTTTATTACAACAACTATTGATAAGCCCTGCGATGTAAATTTAATTATATTATAAAATGTAGCTTTTCTTGTAACACTAAATCTTAATTCGAATCTATAAATACTAGGTAAAATAACGAGTCTAACACATTCCGATTGACTTGGGTCATGTTATCTTTTACTCGTTGGGATTGATATATTGAAAATCTAAGATCTTCATTATCTAGTGAAAATCTAAGGCTTGTTCTATACTTGTAAGCAAGATTGTTCATGGATAATTTTGGATCCAACGAAAACATTATCATCACTTTAACTGGAAAACCTGTCCTTATTCCTACTGCAAACAGATTGACAAAAATGTTTGGATTGTAGGAATTGTATATAGTGAGAAATGCTTATTGTATTGTAACAAGCATTTGAAAAGTTCTATAATTTCCCAGTTTGAGAAACCAAATAATCATGAACTTTATAAGAACATAAATTTGGCAAAGATCCATACATTGTTACGGGTAAGAAAATTCAAGGTGTAATCATTATCATCTTTCTTATCCCAACTATTTGGGTTGACTTTATGAATGCGTAAAATCTAAATATATTAGGAAAATAAAAAATCAGAAGTATCTGTACCATATATCTGGCCCAGTAATTGCACTTTAATAAGTGATAAACTTTGGTGGTGCAGTTTCTCGTTTATCTTATTTGAAGAATCACTAAAACCCAATTTCACAACTATGAGTAAAAGTATGTTGTTGGTTCGTGGTGATTTGTCTCAGGCATGAGATTGTTGGAGTTGTCACTGCAATTAGCACTGGTGTTGCACACTTCAAGGTCGGTGACATTGTTGGTGTTGGAACATATATTAATTCATGCAGAACTTGTGAGTACTGTAATTCTGACAAGGAAAACAAATGTGCAAAAGGAGCAACTTCCACATTCAATGGCATTGACACAGATGGCACAATCACTAAAGGGGGATATTCCAGTTATATAGTAGTCCATCAAAGGCAAGTTACCCTTCCATCTCCTCATTTAGTTTTTCTTTGTGTGGATAGAAGTTTTAAATACTGTTTTTCTTCTTATTTTTCTATTGAATATGACTTTCTTACTTGAAAATATCCACTTGAAATCATGACTCGAGGATGAAACTGAAGTTGGGTACTTCAGACAGATTTCAGTATTCATAGTTGTAAATCAGATTTTAGACTCTAAGAAGCAAAAATATGGATTTGAGAAAATACCTAGCACTGTTGGTTGAAAGCATCTTTAGAAGATATGTAGAATTATGCCAAGCCTGTGCTTTTCTTCACATCCAAAACTCATCCAATGGAAGATCACAACATAAAGTTTCATAGAACTGGTCATGGTTTGTGTTATGAGTTGTTAGTTTGCAATGAGGGAGGAATATCCATGATACCACGATCGACTAAAAGGTTTAGATGACAACCAATATTACTAACGGTAGTTAGCAATATGGATAGTACCATTCCAGAACACTTTTATATAGTGATTGATGCTTTGCTACGATTAATCCGAGTTCCTAATAAGCTTCAGATTTAATGATATAAACTTTAGTTAGCAAAAATTCTTTTCTGATCTATAGATACTGCTTCAAGATACCTGACGGTTACCCTCCAGAATTGGCGGCACCTTTGCTGTGTGCAGGGATCACTGTTTATGCTCCAATGATTCACCATAACATGAACCAACCCGGAAAATCTCTAGGAGTCATTGGCCTCGGTGGCCTTGGGCATATGGCAGTGAAGTATGGAAAAGCTTTTGGTTTGAAGGTGGTTGTTTTTAGTACTAGTACATATAAGATGGAAGAAGCCTTGGAAATCCTTGGTGCAGACGAGTTTGTGCTATCTTCAGACGAGCAACAAATGCAGGTATATGTTGCAACCCTCTTTGTTTTCTTGTGCTCAACTGTCGTTTGTTGAAAAATTTGATTGAATCGCAATATCGCATAGACTTCCTTGAGCATTCATTTCCTCCTCTAAAAGCATGGTAACAGTTGCTTCTTACCTTCTTATGATCAATAGTTTCACTAGTTTAATAATTTGTTGATGTTCCAACTTCTTATTATGCTTGAAAGGTTGAACAAAGTTGCTATTTGGAACACTTTTTATAGAAATCTCCATAGAGAATGTTCCTGTAGTTATCACGACATTTTTTTGGACAAATAACTTTGATTTGAGAAATCTGTTCATTCACAAGTTTGTTGGCAGATGGTTGTTCAAAATCATGCAGATCGCACCTAGTGGAAGATTCCATATTTTTAACATGCAAGATTAGCTCGTCTTTCCTATGATTAGTAGGGTAGATCCTCTGTTGATATGCGTTTTCTAGATACCATATGGATACTTATCAGAGCACCTATGTGATATAATTAATAGTCTTGTTGGGCCGGGCTATTGCTTTTCTAGCAAAAGTTTTATTAAGGATCCCTTTGTTTCATCCTTTTCGTCAACCTTGAAAGCTTTGATGTAAATAGTAGTTTGTTGATGGAAGGCACTTAGTGACCTATGAGAGATAAGAATGTCGCCTTTAGTGTGGACGAAGAGGGTGAGCCTTTAGCTCGCGGGAGGAATTTGATGCATAGAGAAAGAATTGGTGAAAGGTTCCCAAGATTGAAACCTGGTTGCTATGGCATGCTTAATGCCCTTGGTGATGGAAGAAGAGGAGGAAGTCATCCAAGATGTAAAGATTTTACATGTTAAGACTTTAGAGCTTACCTCCATTGTGTAGTGAGGGAGATAAACTCACTATGAAAGGGGGGAATAATATATATTTTAAGGAAAGATTATCTTTTCTATGATCAAGGGTTTGAAAGTTGTGGAGATATCATCCTCTTCGGAATCACTACCAAGATGAGGCACTGAGCAAATTTGCTTCGATTGATTATTATTTTTATCTTTTAGCTTTTTCTTGTCCAGTGTAAGAGCCTGAATTTGTGGAAGTCCATTGACTTTTGACTTTTGAGCTATAAAGTATTTGACATTATCGTAGATTTTGATTTCGTGCACCAAGAATGGTTGTTTATCACCATCAATGCGATATTCTTCATTGTCTCGAATGTATTTCATATATTGATGAAGTGTTGAAGGCACTATACCATACTCATGGTCTTCCGATAAGTGCCTTGTATGATTTGTTAGAATCAATGATGTGGAATGTCGCCTTTGTATTAAGTTCTCCAAAGTTTAGAGGCAAGACCAAAGATCCTAGGGTTCTTTGCCCTTGTTCATTGAATCCTTGCAAAAACATCATGCTTTTGTTCAAATACTGGACATCCAGGGCCAATCCGTTGAGCGTTTTGAGGCTCATTAGATTAACAGAGGAACCTGGATCAATCAAAATTCTATTTATTTTAATATTGTTACTCTTCGCAGTAACATATAATGGCCGATTATGATCTGCAGTTCCCAGGAGCAGATCACTATCACAGAAAGTGATTGTAGCAGTATTCTGCATATGCAAAGCTTCTTTCAAGTTTTGCTCAGCAAAAAATGCCTCATACTGTTCAGGATTTTGCAAAGCCTTAATGAGTGTTTCTTGAAGGTTCTTAGACATCAGAAGGGCGTCGTAGACACTCAGCAATGCAGGTAATTTATGGAGATGGGATAATATATTGTAATCCATATTTGCACTCGCCACCTTGGGTTTAGAAAGCTCTTGTGAAATAACAGCCTCATTGAGTTGAATATTTTTCTCCTTATCCTTTATTTTCTTTTGAGGTGGAAGAACCTGCTTTCCACTTCTCAGTTGGATTTGTGTCACCTTTGAAGGTGAACTAGCTTCAGCTTGAGAATTCTTTAAAATTTTCATATCATCAACTTCCTCGGAGTCTGAGCCGTTTCCGAGTTTCAGACATTTTTCTTTAGGCATGTTCTTTCCCTTATGATCATCTTCTTCATCGGGAAAATATAATTATTCATCTGAGTCAATGAAAGGTACTGGTGTACGTTGTACTTCCTTTGAAGGCATTTTCACTTTCACATCAGTTTTATATATATCAAGAGGTGCATTGCGTTTTCTTGCAGCCCTTCCACCTCATTCATTTATGACTCAACAAGTTTCAGTTGGATTACTTTCTTCCTTTTTTGACTCCGTGTCAAGGAATAAACTAGACATGTATTCCTCTAACTTGATAGGACGTCTTGGAGGTTATTGATATTTATCGATGGAGTTGATGTATTTTTTAGTCTCGGTCTTATGCTTTATTAATCACTTCTTCTTTCTTTTCTGAGATTTTGATCTAGATTTACTCTTCCCTTTTTTATCTTTGAAATATTTCAAAGGTTTCTTCTTGCTTGAATTGGACCCTCGGTTCTTTGAAGAAATGTGTCTTGGATCAACTTCTATTTCTAATGCACTCTTACGACAATTGCTTTCAATGGCCAATGGGACATTCATCATCTGTTTAGTTTTCTTTGAAATAAATGTCTCCCAACCACCTTCATCTTCTTGGGGTGCTTTCCCTTTCTCATTCTCTGTGCTTTGACACGGTATAGAGGAGATAACATTAGTTTTCTCCCTCTTAAGATTGACAAAAACACTGTTAGAAATTGTAAGTTCACCGTTATGATAATTTGTTTCGACCCAATCTTTGAATATGAAACAATCTTCGATTGGGTGACTTATGATCCTATGATACGGGCAGTAATTCAGATCATCAGTCATGCCAGCCTGTTTTGGTCGGCGGGATTATGGCAATTGAAGGCCGATTTTTAGGGCTTGTCTAAAAATCTTTCCCGTACACACCTTTTTGAAAGAATACGGCTCGTTAATTTTCTCCTGCAAGGTAGGAGGCTTTTGCCTTTCTTTTTTTTGTTTCAACATCATTAACGGATTCATTGGATCCTCTTTTTCTTTTTTCTCCAAGGAATACGGGAATGTGATATTCACCTCACTTCTTTTTGGATCATACATCTTGATTTGTTTTCCTTTCCCTGGCGGATTATTATTATAGTTGAAGCCGACATTTTTAGGCCTGGGTAACCTTTCAAATTTGGTTACATGATCAAGTAATTCCTGAAACGTATTAATTGTAGCCATCACTAGATATAGAGCCATATAATCATTTATGCTTCCCAGTAATAGCTCGACAGCATGCTTCTCAGTGAGTTGTTTCTCACATTTCATGCAGAGATTTCTCCACCTGGTTATGTACTTAGTGACTGATTCCTCTCTTTTTTCTTTTTTCAAGAGCGAGGTCAGCAATAGTCACCTTCTTTGTTGCACTGGCAAATCTTTTAATGAACACCGTCTCTAATTCGGCGAATGTTCTTACTGAGTCATTGGGTAACTCAGCATACAATTCAAAAGCTGTACCTGTTAGACTACTGACAAATTGCCGTAGTAACAGAGCATCATTGCCTCCTGTATTTCCATAGGTAGCCTTGAATTGTGCCAAATGTTGATGAGGATTTGCAGTACCATCAAATAAATTGAACTTTTGCACTATGTATCCCTTTGGATACTTCTCTTGGTCATATTCCACAGGATACGAACGACCTTTTCCCACCAAAGCTTCAGCAGCTTCAGACGCAATAACTGCTTTAACCTTTTGGCTAATGAGATTTTCAATTTGAGCTCTGTTGACCATTTCACCTTCTTTAGGGGTTATTAGTGTTGGCTCATGTAACTCCTCAAATCTTCTATCAGAAGTGAGCACTACATTAGGAGTAATTTGAACATTTCCTTGAGTATTTGCTACAGGTGGTTGGCTAGTTGTAGCTATCATGCCCAGTTGTCCAAACAAATGTTTCATCATATTACTCATCTCATCAAGACGAGTATTTAAATGATGGATTTCTAGATCTTTCTTTTGTTGCATAGATTGTATTTCCAATTGTAACTTCTTTATAACTTTTTCTGCTTCTACCTCCTCAAAATTAAAAGAAGACCTCGTGTCGTCGATCTTAGATCCGGCCGAGATGATTTCAAATTCAAGACCTCGTGTCGTCGACTTTAAGTCCGGTCATGATGGTTTCAAATTCAAGGTCTCATACCGTTGATTTTAAGTCCGATCAAGATGGTTTTAAAATACAAGATCTCGTACCGTTGATTTTAAATCCGGTCCGGAAGAATTTAAATTCAAGACCTCGTATAGTCGACTTTAAGTCTGATCGAGATGGTTTCAAATTCAAGGCCTCGTGCCGTCGACCTTAGGTCCGGCCGGGAAGACAATATTGGCAAATGCCATCCCGATTTCTTCCTTGGTGGGGAGTAGACGTCGGGAGGCTGCAGAAATTTTCTCGAAAATTCTAGACTTAAGTGGATTTAAAAAAAAACGAAGGATCTCTAAAGAAAAATTTTGAAATTAGAGAGTGAGCATTTAAATTACCAATTAAATTAAGAAGCTACTATGTGCTTTTGTGGATGCCAATTCACCCTGTTATGACTACAAATGATCATACCTAAAGGGATGGCATTGATTACATGCTGTATCAAATTAGAGCTTCTTCCCCAAGAAACTATATACTGAGCATATGGTATTACCTAGAATTGTTGGAAACACGAACTTCAAGTACAATTATGTTTGGGCAAAGGTTGTATCCAGAAGTAATACAAGACCAACTAGCTCTTAAAAAATAATAATAATAATAATAACATTTTCCTTGCTAAAGACTTCAAATATGGAGAAGTTTGCTTGCTTGATGCTACTGTAGTTGAAAGTAGTGACATTGAGACCAATTTCTTCAAGTGTTGCAAACTAGTGAAAGGAATTGTTATGCTTCTAATACAAAAATGAATGCGAGATCTTCAAGAAGTCATGCAATTCTTATGGTTCATATACGGAGATCTTCTGAGGGGGAAATATAAAAATGAATTCCTATTAGTGAACATAAATAATAGTGAAGAATTTCCACACGTCTTTTTTTCTTAAAAAAAAAAAAGCAAACTACTAATCATTGACCTTGCAGGCTCAGAACGAATAGATGAATCTAGTGTTGATGATCATGTGCTTGAAGAGGCCAAATTCATAAATATTTTTCTAAATTTTCTTGCGAAATGCATAAATGCTTTAGATGAAAATAGTACCAATATCTCAACAAGAGAACCCAAGCTCACTAAACCGCTTTCTAATTCATTTGGAGGAACTGCACAGATATCCCTTATCATTACGGTTAGTCCATTAGCCCGACAAACTCTCAAACCCTCAAAATCTCAAAATAAACTCAATCTACAAACAACTCAAACTCAATCTACAAACAAACTCAAACTCAAATCAAACACAACTCAAACAAAACTCTACAAATTCCTATACAAAACTCCCTACAACAATAACTGAAACTCTCCAACATAACAGCATAATCTCCGAGCTCTTCAAAGTTCTCATGTCCGAGCTCCTGCAAACAAACAAATAAGGATCAGTGCATTACAAATAAATTGAATGAATGCTAATAAATCTAAGCTACAGCAGGTAGAACAGAGTACTGAAAAGCAAGAAAAGCTAAGTACGAAAAAGCTAGTAGTGTAACAGTACTGAAAAGACGAGTAAAGAAATGAACTACTGTAGTAGAAAAAAGACTACGAGCACAAATCAAAATAACTAAAACACTAACATTAGTGTCAAAATTCCAAAGTATCAAAATTATAAACTCAACCAACTCAAACAAGTTAAGAACAAATATCCAAACAATCAAATTTCAACTTTCTAGGGCAGCCTAATTTATAAGAATTAGGTTGTAAGACCCACTACCCCGGCAACTTTCATAGGAAAGTCATAAGCCCGACCTTAGGGGGGAGTTTTAAGTGGAAATTGACCTAACTCCTAACCTCCGATTAAAACTCCCGGCCACTTCTAATAGAAGTCGTAAGTCCGACTCCTGAGGAAAATGTTTAGGTGATGATACAACCCTAGACTCCTCACTTGTGCATCCTAGTATATAGGAATAGGTTGTAAGACCCGCTATCGGGCAACTTCTACCTAAAGTCGTAAGCCCCCACATTTTAGAAAAATTGTCAAAATAAATAGCAATGATCATAAACCTCAAACAAGCAAATTTAAACCTAAGGGTATCTTAGTCTAAAGGATTAAGTTGTAAGACCCACAACTCGGGTCGCTTAGCTTATAGAGCTAGGTCGTAAGACCCACCATTGGGCAGCTTCTAACGAAGCCATAAGCCCCTACCTAAATCAAATCACACGGGCAACTTCTAAGGAAGCCATAAGCCCCAACCCATATTAAATCAAATTAAAATTCAAACCTTTGGGCATCTTAATTTAAAGAATTAAGTTATAAGACCCGCTTTTCAGGCTCTTTCTCCCTAAGAGAAGTCATAAGTCCTACCCAAATAATTTAAAATCTCCGGGCCACTTAGCTTACAGGCTAAGTCGTAAGACACATCATTAGGCAACTTCTAAGGAAGCAATAAGACCTACCCAATCAAAATTCTTCGGGCTACCTCTAAAAGAGACCGTAAGTCCCACTGATATTACTATCAGGGCAACTCCTAATTGGAGCCGTAAGTCCAAACTAAATAAATTAACGGGCAACTTCTAAGGAAGCCATAAGTCCCAACCCAAAATTAAATTAAATTAAAATCCACACACATCTCCACTTCAGTCTACTCGGGATCCCTAAGAGGAGGCAACCCATGGTTGCTAATCAGATTCCCTGGACACTACGGTCAATGATTGTTAGTGTTGGTAGACTGAAATCTATGGTATACCCGGGACGATGGAACCATGGGATCTTGATCGGGTTTACCTCCACCTTCCCACTATTGAGACTAAAAATATATAAAAATTATTTCATCCTTAATCGAAAGTTCTCTCTTACATAGTAAGAGGGGTAATTAAATATGAGTGCTTGCGCTCATAGGAAGTAAGGACCTCATATTTTTAAACCCTGACATTACCATCAGGGGAAAGCTGGTTAACTACAATCTAACTTAAGGGAAATAGAATCCTACGGATGCAAAGCGGGATTCGTGCATTCGTGCCATTTTTCTTGAGCCAACACTCTAGTCTTTGCCCTCTTCTTCCATCTGATAAGCATCTCTTACACGATTCTTTGCATCTCTCTCTCTCTCTCTCTCAATCTTAGCCTCTCTCTTGAAAGCATATATACATATATCTCTCTCTTTTAAAAGTCTCACTCTATCTTACCGGCATTTCTAACCCCCCCCCCCCCCCCCCCCCCCCTCCATTTTTTAATCTTCTTTTCTTGCATAAGTCTTTTTCTTAGTAGAAGCTTCTTTCTGTTGGAAGCTACTCTTCCTTACAAGCCTCTCTTTTTGTTAGATACCTCTCTCTTGTAGAAGTCTCTTATAAGCCTATCTCTACATTAAGAGCCTCTCTTTTCCTCTTAGAAGTTTTTATCACTCTATAGCTTCCCAATCTCTATCTCTCTTAGATGTTACTCCCTCTCTAATAGTAACCTTTCTCCTTCTCTCCCACTTTTATATTATTTCTCTCTTTGAAGTCTCTTTCTCTCTCTTATGAGTCTCTTTCTCCCTCTCACTTTAAAGCTTCTCTCCTAGAAGTCTCTCTCTTACTCATAAAGGCCTCCTATCTCTCATTAAAGCCTCTCTCTCACTGACAATCTCTCTCTCTCTCTCTCTCTCTCTCTCTCTCTCTCTCTCTCTCTCTCTAATATAGCCTCCCTATTCCACCCTTATGAGCATCTCTATCTCTTAGAGGCATTTATATGTCTCTGTTAGAAGTCTCTTAAAAATTTTGTAAGTGGTACAACTTGACAAAATGCCTCCCTATTCCACCCTTATGAGCCTCCCTATTCCATAAGAGGGCTCAATCCAAACCTCCTTGTCTAAAGGTAAAGTAACAGCCATCTCAATTAGAGCCTTATCTATAGAAGGTCTAGAAAGTCAAGCAGTGGTAGTATCTACTTCAAGTTGCCGAAGATGGAACTTAGAGAATATCAGGTAGACTGATTAAAGTAGTGTAGCTAAAGCCAAGGATAATAAATTCACATCGGAGTGTTAGGAGGTTCCATTGATGAGTCAAAGTGGGGAGACCACTATAATGTACGCATTAGAAAATGCCTCACATAGTAGATTTGTTGTGTAAAAAAAAAAATAGAGTAATCTATTTCAATTGATAATGTAATAATAATATGATTAGAATTAAGAAGACCAACCGAATATTTTCTAGCCAAATATAGGTCTGACATAAATATACGTAAACTCTCAAGGCTAGAATACTCCATGAATAATACTATAGAGAGTACCTAGCTCAAAAATCTCATATTAAGTGAAAATAAGAACTGATTTACTCTTGAACATGCAGGTTTATTTATGCTGAGGAGAGTCTGGTTCTTGTGGCTTTAGTCTTACAGACAGGATACAAAACAAGTATATATGTGAAAAAGTTGGAGTAGCTCCAGTGAAAGATAAAAGTATAGAGAGTTGTCTTGGATGATTTGGTCACATAAAACGGCAGCCTTCCGATGACCCTGTTAGGAGAGTAGATGTATTAGATTTGACTTATATTAAGAAAGCTAGAGGTAGACATAAAAAGATTTGGTCAAAATAATAGAAATGATTTTTCTTTGTTAGATTTAAATGAGAATTTGATTCTTAATAGGATACAAAAGAGAAAAATGATTCATGTAGCTGACCCTAAACCCTGTATGGGAAACACCTGACACTAGAACCGATGGTGGTGATGGAATAATCTCTTTTGAAAAACACAACCTGAGAAACATGTGGATGTGATGATGGCATGGAAACCTAGGAATGCTCATCGATCTTGGGAAGATAGGAAGCACGCAACAGATAAATGTTGCTGAACAAAATTAAAAATCTGAGAGCAAAATTAAGACTGCAAGGGTGTAATCTAGGGTGTCGAGGCTAGAGACGGTTTGGGCACGGCCTTTGATCCCTGGCCTCATCAACTCAGCCTGTTTTAGTATTATTAAAATCATCAATATTTCTCTTACGTAGACAAAATATTTTGGAATGGGAAAAATACCTTCTCCTTCTGCGAGGGAAAAAAGAAAAGATCACACTTCGCTGACAAACCCAGTGTTTGTTGGTTCAAACATATTTGCTTTAAAGGTTCTTATCTCAATTACTCTGATTTTGCAATCTATTTTTTACTTTGATAGCTCACATTGGTCTGCTTAAGACATGATAACCTTACAGCAAGAGGTTTCATCGTAAATAACATCTGTTTTCACAACTATTTAATTAAAAATTGTTATTTGTCTTTCTTGTAGGCCTTCTCTAACTCCCTGGACTTTATTATTGATACTTCATCTGGCCCGCACCCATTTGAGCCTTACATGTCTCTTCTGAAGACAGAAGGCACCCTGGTTTTGGTTGGCTTTCCAGGCGAAATCCGGCTGTCTCCTGCATCCCTTATTCTCGGTATGCCCCATTCTTTTATTAAATTTATATTTTACAGTCTTAAAATAAATTTAAATATTACAAAATTCATCTTCATCAAATTCTGATCAAAATACCCTCACATAATCTCTTTTAGTTTTTAGAATATTGAAATTTTTTGCATGCAAAGTTGCATGACATTCTCTGTTGCATATGCTAATAGGCTCAAAGACTATTTCTGGGAGCTTAGTGGGTGGTACAAAAGACATCAAGGAGATGTTAGAGTTCAGTGCTGCCAATAAGATATACCCAAAGATCGAATTGATTCCTATTACATATGTCAACGAAGCACTTGATAGGCTTGTTAAGAGGGATGTCAAGTACCGCTTTGTGATAGATATTGAGAATTCTCTCAAATAAATAGCACATTAGGCTTTGTTTGGGACGGCTTTCTTATTGTTTCTTAAAGCAGTTTTCTAATATAAAAATTAAAACTTTTATTCTAAAAAACTATTTCAAGAAGCAGTATAAAAACCGTCCCAAACAAACCTTTAGTCTTTCAGCCATCTCAAATAGAAATTCTATATTTGTACTATTCAAACTATTTCGTAAATCTGCTGGCTCACAATAAGACGTAAATAATTCCTGAATTTCATGAGTGTTGACTCATCTTTGGTAGTGTTGGATTGAAAATCTTTGTGATTAGTGTAATTTACTGCACAAACAAGTATCTGTTTCATTAGCTCCTTTCACTTTGACAGTGCAATTTGAAATTATGGGATTTTTTTTATTTTTATGTGAAGAACGATAGAATCCAAATTTCTTTTCTTTAAAGTGAAAAGAAGGCTTGGAACATGACTTATCTTTTCTTAAGGATTTTAAATAGATTTTTTATTATGTATATAGAGATTGTAATAAAGTGGCAGACGTTTGCGCCTCTTATGTTGTATTAGGAGATTTTCTTTAGGATTTGGTAGATGATATAAACCTTCCTTCATCATTAGTATCAATGGTAAGGAATAAATATGATAGAATAGCTATTACTTTGTATATTGTTTTTCTTTTCTTTATTAATGCAAATTGCATTTCTTAAAAAAAAACTCATAAATAATAATAATAATAATCCCTAATTATAAGAAAGGGATAAACAAAGTATTGTCTATTAATTATTTAATTATTAGCTTTTAGTTTAAATGTCAATATAGGTCCTTCAATATGAAGCCAATGCTATTGGAAATCATGAAAGGATCCATGATGAAGGATAATGAAGAAATACATTGCAGGAACTAAAAACAGAGAGTTGAAAACTATGGAGATAGTAATTTTATGTATATTGAATTTTTAGAGCATGGGGTTTACATATAGAGATGAAGGAAACAAATCAATTAGGATTCCTATGATGTTGTAAGAGCAAGGAGCGAAAGAAGCAGAGAGCAAATGGAGCGATAGCCGAATGCAGGAGTGATGGAGGTAATTGGTTCACAATAAATTGAAGTCCTTATCATGCATGTTAACAACACCCCTCAAATTAGTGATCTAGAAGTTGGATTGTTAATTTGTGTATAAGGGTGTGAAACCAAGTTGAAGACATAAGCTTTGTGAGTATGTCCGTAAATTGATCAACTAAGTTGATATGCATAATAGAGATATATTTGACTTGTTCATTCACTTATGAAGTGTTAATCTATTTCTATGTGTTTAGTCCTTGCGTGAAAGAACGGATTGTTGGCGAAGTCATGGTTAATGTACTGTCACAGTAAAGAGAAGTTGTTGTACTCGGCGGTGCTTGAAATTCAGCAAGCAAACATCTGAGTTAGATGATGTTCGTTGTGGTGGAGGCAAGGTCTCTGTATTCTGCTTTAGTTGATGGCTATAGTCACTTGCTTCTTGACACTCCAAGAAATAAGGGTGTGTCCTAGAAAGGTGCAAAACCTAGTGCTGAACTTTTATCTGATGTATCGGCAGCCTGGACATAATCAAAGTAAGTTCACAGATGAAGATTGCTCGATAGAATAGGAAGCCTAAAATGAATTGTACCTTGAATGTAATTAACACAGTAATATCTTAAGAGATTAATATTGTTCATTAAATGGGTTATGCATATATTGACATATTTTATTTGTAGCAAAAGCAATATCAAATCTTCTTATTGTAAGGCACTGAAGGGAGCCTGCTAACTTGCATTAGAGGGATGGATTACTAATTTGGTCATTAGATTGTAGACATTTGGATGGTTTAAGGGACATTGGGGTGAGAGAGGGTTTACAGGTAGCAAAATCAGAGGATGTAAGAATTTTCTAGGGCATATTATGTTTGATTTAAGAAGTCTACAGTGGAGGTGTGTTATACCTGAATGCCTAGAAAAAGTGATATTGGACCGAGCACTTTGAGTTAGAAGACCATTAGCAACTTGGAAATGAGTTTTTGGATGGTTGGTTGGTGATTGCTGGATATGAGTAAGTCATCTACATACATGAATAGATAAATCTAAATATTAGTGGTGGAGAAGATCAACAGGGATGGATCATATTTGTTGAATCGAAAATCAAAGCTTAGCAGAAATGAGGTGAATGTTGTAAACCATTATTTGGGAGTCTATTTTAAACCATATATATTGCTTTATAAAGCTTGCAAACATAATATGGATGTGTTGAATTAGGGAAGCCAGGTGGTTGTTTCATGTATGCATCCTCTTTCAGATGACCATGAAGGAATGCATTGGAGACATCTAATTGAAGAACTAACCATTAGTGATGGAGTGCAATAGTAAGCAGCATGCGGATGGTGGGCATTTTTGCTACCAGGCTGAATGTTTCTTTGTAATCTATGTCATACTCTTAGTTGAATCATTATGCTACTAGTCAGGCTTTGTGACGATTAATAATTCCATCAGCATTCAGTTTTGTTTTGTAAGTTCAACGAAAACCAAGGATTGTTTGATGTGTTGGAGCAGGAACTAATGACCATATTCCCTATTTTGAAGTGCTAAAAATTTTGTGGGCATGGCAGACCGTCAAGGTTGATGCTTACTGTCTTGAGGATAACATGTGGAAGTGAGAGTGACTTGTGCTGTTGCAAGAAGATTTTTTTTTTTTAATTACTAGTCTTAAATCCTATTTGCATTGGGTGGTCTGGAGGCACTGATGGAAGATTTATGGTGTGCTCTTGTGAGATAGAGTTGATTGGTTGAGAGGAAGTTTGAGATGTAGTAGGGATTCTTTATGAGCTAGAAATGGGTGGAGTAGGAGAATCTGAGCTGGTGAGCTAAGTGAGTGGTGCAAGTTTAGAATTGGGAATGTTGGAGATTGGAATTAATGTAAAGTGTAGGTGAGATGTATTGGAAGGTGGTGTGGAAGAGATTGAGGAGGTGGAGTTGTATGGAAATGTTTGTTCATGAAAGACAACATGATGAGAGATGTGAATTTCATTGGTTTGTGTATTCAAGCATCTATATCCTTTATGAAATGTGGACTAGCCTAGGAAGATGCATTCTTTAGAACATGGACATAGTTTGCTGGTGGATAAGAGTTTGAATCATGGAAAGAACATCTAATAACTCATACTTTCACCTAGTTAAATAGTTTTTTTTTTTTTCAATAGTCATTATAAGTCCAAATCACAAACTTGGTATCATAGTATAAATGTGGGAAGCATTGATTGAATTTTTACCATAGCTATAAAAAAATGATTGTGAGTTGGGTAGATTAAGGTGTATTGTTTTGCATTTATAATTGATTATATAATTGAATGATATGTGATAAAATGAACTGAATGAGTGTATTATAAGAATTGATTAAGTTCGATGAGTTTTGATTCGTAATATGATTTTTGAGTTAGTTTGGGTTTTGATCGTACAAAAAATTGTATTGATTTTGTGCTATAAGCCTTAAGGGAAATGTTGGGGATGAAAATTTTTAAGGTAGGTAAATAATTTGTGATTTGAACTTATAATGACTCCTGAAAAAATTTTATTTGACTGAGGGAAAATATGAGTTATTATAATGCAAGCACCCAAATATTTTGAGGTGATCATAGGAGGGTGTATGACCATGGAATAGCTGAAAGGGAGCTTGAAGCTTGCAAGTTGTGAAGGTAGATGATTAATGAGGTTATTTGAGGTAAATAGAGCTTCAGACTAGAATTGATGAGGTAGATTGACTGGATGTAAAAGAGTGTGGATTGTATCTAATAGGTGATGATGTTTTCTTTCAGCAAGGCCATTTTGTTCTAGAGTATAGGGATAGCTTAGTTGATGTTATATACCATGAGTGATTAGGAATTGTTGAAAGTTATGGGATGTGTATTCACCACCTCCATCCAATATGATTGTTTTGATTTTAGTGTTGAAGAGATTTTCTGCATATGAGTGAATTGTTTGAACTTGTGGATTGTTTCATCTTTAGTATGCATTAAAAATAGCCAACAATGATAAAAACAACATAATATCGATAACTGTTGATTGATGGTACCGAGGTAGAACCCCAAACATTTGAGTGAATAAGAGTTAGAGGAGTAGAAACATGATTTGCACTAGTATTGAATGATAACTTGTGACTCTTAGTCACATTACATGATGTGCATAAAACTGAAGAACTAGAGATACATATGTTTGGATTGGATTTATCTAATATATGTAAGATACGTTGGTCTAGATGTCCTACGCAAGCATGCCAAAGAGAGGTTGAGTTGAGCCTAGTGTGAAGAGCATTAGTGAACAAATTGTTTTTGGGAGACATAAGATATAGTCCATTTCGAATTCGATCATGAAGAATAACTTGATTGGTCAATAGATCCTTGATGATGAAACCAACGACATCAAAGGAAATAGAGCAATTGTTGTAGAAGTTAGTTTATGTATAAAAAGGAGATTGTGAGTGATAGAAAGTACATGAAGTAGAGGATGAATAAGAAGAATACAATTGAGATCTAGAAAGGGTAGAATACCTTGACCACTGTGTTGGATAGGAAGTGAGTTGTCATTCGCAATAGAGATAGATTTAGCGCTATGATATGAATGTATTTTTGCAAGTTCGTAGCATCAAAAGTGAGATGAGTTGAAGCTCAAGAGTCAATATATAATTCTAAAAGTGGAGTAGATTGGTGTTATGTGAACATGCCATGAGGAGAAGAAATAGTTTGTGAAGTGTATTGAAGGATGCATCTATGCCAGCAGGAGAAACATGAATGTCTCCATTTTTTGCAGATATGGTAGATGGGCCTTGATTGTTGGTAGGAAAGGATCCACAACCAGTGGGGTTGTTGTTGTTGCGGGAAAATGATGACTTGGAATTATATCCATGATCATGGAAGGAGAAATTGAAGTTTGATCTCCTAGAAGATCCGCCTTTGATTGTGTGAAAAGCAATATTGTCTCATGGGAGGGATGAGTCTCTTGAAAGTTCATTCTGTATGTTGATCTCCTCATAATATTGCATAGCAAGGAGTATAGGTCATCAAGACTGATAAGGTTGAGAGATTGTGAATGGTTATTTTGAAGGAGTGATATATTGCGGGTAAGCCATTTAGTATGTATAACATGATGTCTTCTGGGTCGATATGAGAGCCTGCAGCAGCATTGTTATCCACCAATGACTTAATTTGATTAAGGTAGTGAGTCATTGAGTTGTCTTTCATGTTGATGTGATGAAGTTCATTCTTAAGTTCAATGACACGAGAATGGTTGGTGGGTTGAAGTCGTTTCTCAAGAGTGACCCAGATTTCATG